AGGACCTGCCAAACTGTCAATGACTCACCTCTCTGCCCCAGGTCTTACTTTAATTCTGTTAATCCCAGTGAAGTTTCAGGAAACCAAAAGATCCAGACAAGTCAGAGACCTCTCCTTCCCATCCAAGGCAAAACTAAGCAGCATTCAGAATTGGATACGTTGTTTTGGGCCCTCTGTACAAAGGTTTTATTGTATTCTTTGGGTATGGTGAGGCCAACAGACCAGGAGATGACCGCCATTGAAGAAATAGTTTGCTATTCACAGTTCCTTGCAGGAGGGGGAATGCCACACCACTCAGGGTGGGACAGTAACAAGAGGAGAGGTGTCCCACACCACTTGGGCACCTGGAGAAGCACCAGGAGGCAGGGGGAGCAGGAAGACACTGTGGCAGGCGCCTTTTTTGCAGGAAGAAATGGTCAAGACGGGGTAAGCAGGTGTAGAGTTGGTTAGTTTGAGTCATTTCTGACTTTTTCTGAGCTATCCACAGTGAATGGACAGGAATTGGTAATGCATTTTGCTGTGGAGTGTGCCACATAGCATCCTAAGTCTCTCCACATCTTCAGAAAAATAGAGACCACACATTAATGGGATGTTGTTGGGGATGCAACTCAATGTTGGGTCTTTCTCTGAGATGGATACAGAATGGGAAGAGAGGCTGCCCATGGAAGGCGAGACACAGTGAGTTCACATTTGTCTCATCCACAAGAACCGGAGGTGCCTCGGCAGTAAAACTGTTCTTATCTATCTCTGTACTTGGAGTGCACAATGCTTGGCAGAAAGTGAGTACTCAAAATTAGTGTTTATTGCATAAAATTGTCTCTACAGAATGTGCCATTTCTTTCCATCGCTAGCATCCTAAGTCAGGTTGTACCTGGATCATTCTGTTACCTGATGGAAAGTCTTGACTGTGAGTCATTCAGGTTATCCGTGCATTGAACAAAGAATTGAACAAAACTCACAAACCAACCAACAAAAGAATGAAGCACTGAAAGAAGCAATGAAAGCGCAGATTTATTGAAGCAAAAGTACACTCCACGGTGTGGGAGGAGGCTCGAGCAAGTGGCTCAAGAGCCATGATTACAGTGTTCTTTAGGGTTTTTATTAAGCTATAGAAATGTGGTAACACCCCTATGAAGGTTTGGCCTGCGACCAGTCAGAGGCTGTAGTGGAAGCTTCTGTCTCCTTATCACAGGAGTGAGGATGGGGCCTGTATGCTGCCCAGCTTTGCCTAGAACTTGCTGCACCTGTTATTCTTTTGCTTATGCCTTAACCCTTGGTTCCTCTAATTCCTTATTCTCCTGCCTCAACTCCATTATCTTTCCTGCAGCTCCCATGTTTGCAGATTCTCCCACTGCAAATGTATTTTGCGTTCTTTTACCACTGTCATTGATCTTCATCAGCACTTTGATTATAGCTCTCATTGACTTATTGAACTTCAGTGCTTCTATCCCTCTCTCCTCAGAAACCTTAAGGAACTCCTCCCCCCTTGCTTACAATCACATCTGATTTCTTCATCCTGAGATCTGAAAACTCACAGGGAGTTCTAAAGATGAAAAGAACTCAGGTATGTAAAAACTCTTGCAAAACATTCAGAATATTACATATGATCATTAATATTTTCAGTTTTCTCCCATCCAGATTTATAGTAATTGGGACTTGTCGACCCCCTTGAGTGTAGCCCCTGGCTTGGTATTGGCCAAAGAGGTGGAAATGAGCATGTCACTGGGTGGAAGCTTCAGAAGCCATGCTGATTTGCCATGCTCCTTCTTTTCCACAGGTAAAGTGACCACAGCATTCCATTTGCCCAGGTCCTGGTGTGAGAACCCACAGAGGAACACCCCCTTTCTCCCGGGCTGATCTGAGACAGGGCTAATCTGAGACAAGGCTGATCTGAAACAGGACCGATCAGAGACAGGCATATACAGCTAACCCTTAAACTACACAGCTTTGAACCATCCAGGTCCACTTATGTGTGGATTTCTTTTCAATAAGTATATCAGAAAATTTTTTGGAGGTTTGTGACATTTGAAAAAACTTGCAGATGAACCATGTAGCCTAAAAATACAGAGAATTTAGAAAAAGTTAAGTATGTTGTGAATGCATAAAATATATGTAGATATTAATCTATTTTATCATTTATTACCACATGTACACAAACCTATTATAAAAATTAAAATTTATCAAAATTTACACACACACTTACAGACCGTACATGGTGCCATTCAGTCAAGAGAAATGTAGATAAAGATTCAGTATTAGATCATAACTACATAAAGTTAGCTGCAGCACATACTATATGTATTACTGTAATAATTTTTAGTCACTGAAAGCTGCTATTACAGTGAGATCAAGGGTTGTGAGTATCTACTTAAAATGCCTTGTGACACTGATCAACTCCACGTGAGTTCATCCCTCTAGCAATTTGCTTATTGCAGTAAATAGTCTTCTCATGTGGTTCTCAAGAATTTTTCATTGTGTTAAGTGCAATACCCTAAATCTTGAATAACACCATGGCACCCATACAAAGGCAGTGCCTTATAGTGACGCTGGAAGTACTTCCAAAAAGCAAAGTCACAAGTTGACATACAAGATCTTGAATTGCTAGATATGGACCATCAGCTGAGGTCTGCAGCTGTAGTTGCTGCCATTTTAGATTGATTGTTCATCTTGTAAACTTACAGAATCAAAAAATACAGTAGAGTACTGCAAATGTATTTTCTCTTCCTTTTCTTATAACATTTTCTTTTCTCTTGCTAACTTTATTGTAAGAATACAGTGTATAATACATATGACATACAAAACATGTGTTAATTGACCGTTTAGGTTATTGGTAAAGCTTCTGGTTAAGAGTAGGTTATTAAGTTTTAGGACAGTCAAAAGTCTGAGTGCACTGGGGTTTGCTCCCCTAACCCCTCCATTATTCAAGGGTCAACTGTAGCAGGAACTGCTGTTCCTCTTATTTAATAGGAATTATTACTGTCCCGTATTGTAGAGGAGGGAAGGAGGGCGAGAGTGACTAAATCACTTGCCCAGATTCTCAGCTATTCAGAGGTAGAACTGGGATCTCCCAAATTCCCGTGGGAGATCTTGTCACCAATGAAGCCCCTATTGCACTGTGCAGGAAGACACCTAGGCAGAGTGAAAAGCACAAGGGTTTTGTTGTTAGATCTGGATCAAATTCCAGCTTTGTCATACCCCAAGGAGTCCTAGTTTTCCAGTCTTTAAGATGGCAACAATGACAAAATCTGTCTCACAAGTTTGTGGAAGGGGTGAAAGAAACTAGGATAGAAAGCCCTGACAGGCACGCAACAGGGACTTGGTCAGGTAACCTTGGTTCTTTCCCACAGTCCGGCTCTCCTCTTTGTCCCCTGGATTGGCCACACCCACTGTCACCTCTAAGCCCTTGCTCATGCTGTTTTCTCTGATTATAAATCCCTCCCTGTCTCCTCCTCTTATAGCACTCAAAACCCAGCTGAGATTTCAGCTCTTCCATGCAGGCTCCTCCCTCATTCTTGTTCTACTTTCCCCACTTGGTACCCTGCCAGTACTTGACGCTTAATCAGCCACAGTGGATTTAAGTGTTTCAGCTGTGAGTGGCTTATCTCCTACATTACACTAGATATTCCTTGAGGGCATTGACCAGCCTCCTACATCCCTCCCTCAGCTTGGCCCAGCCCCAGCTCAGTCTCTCCTTGGATGAGTGGCTCTGGGCACTTGCCCCTTCTGATCAATGTGCCTATCCCCTCTTCTGTACACACTGGGGACCACTGGAGGAGCTCTGGAGACACCCTCTTGTGAATACTAGGTGAGTAAATGAAACTGGGCCGAATCTGCAATAGGAGGTGACCAGTAGGAAACTGGTTAGGTTTTCCAATCACCTCTGTGGGCCACATATTGCACCCAGCACCTTGGAACTTCTCTAGTTGTCAGAAAGGCCCTAGGATGCTGCATGTTTATAGCTGAAGAATATGAACTTTAAAGGGATACATAACTTAATTGGCAATAATTGGTTGAGAATGATTTCTTACTGATGACCACATATTTATACACCATGTGCTGTGCCAGGAATTCAGAGAGATTCATAAGGCAGACATGGCTATCGTGGGGGTCAGGGTGGACTTCACAGGTGGTACATTTACTAAAACAGTCATAGGTAAAGAAAGGCAGATTTATTAGAGAAAGTATAAAAATATGTTGCAAGGTTGCAACAGGCAGCAACAGCAGAGAAGGGGCTTTCTGTAAAGAAGCAGGGGCTGGTGGGAGCTATTTTGGTGGGGTTTTTGCGATTAGCCATCTCCTAAAGTACAATTGTTCATTGTTCTTCCCCACCTGGGTCTCTGCCCTACCTGGGGCCCCTTCCTAGTGGTTGCTTACTTAACAGAACTCCACAATGGTCCCCAGCTTGCTTCAGAGAGCTCACAGCCCTGATGACAAGTGAGACTATCAACCATCAGTATACTACCACCCTTGTATCATTCTTTTCTACGTATGAGAACCACCATCACCATGGCAGTTACCTCCAATTCAGCACCTTTTACAGATCATCATCAGGTAATTCTACATGCACGATCTCATTTATTCCCCAACACATCCTGAAGAAGGGGAATTACTTTTCACTGATATACTTCAAGTGCCTGGAACAGTATGTGGCACATTATAGAGGATAATTAAGTTTTAATTAAATGATTTTGTTACAGGTAGTTAGACAGGTATAAGAGGGGCAGCAGAGGGCTCTCCCACTACCTACTAAGAATTTTGGGTGACCGCTTAGCAATTATCACATTTCCTCTCTAAAAGTGATAAATTGGCAGCCAACACCAGAGAGAGATCATTTCCTGATAGTCCACATCTTTCGCACCAAAATGTTAATTGAATGTGGGTGCCAGTGGGAGGCTGAGGCAGAAGAATCGCTTGAAACAGGGAGGCGGAGGTTGCAGTGAGCTGAGATAGTACCACTGCACTCCAGCCTGTAAAGTCCTAGAATCAAGGTTAAACGTTGCACTTGACCTCAGGGCCCACTTGGGTCTCTTCCAAGTGTACTTTCCTTCGTTTCCTGTTCTAAAGCATTAAATAAACTTACTCCCGCTCTGAAACTTGCCTTTGCCTCTTTTTCTGCGTAATGCCACTCTGTCGAATTCTTTCTCCAGAAGAGGCAAGAATTGAAGTTGCACAGACCCATACAGATTCACCACCTGGGACCTTCCATTGGAAACCTTACAGTGGTAACATGTTCCCATTTCACAAATAAGGTTCATGGAGATTTGCCCAAATTTAAGGAAAGCGTGGGGCTGGGATCCAAGGTGTGAGTGCATTTTGCTCTTTCAAGTTACTGGTAACTTGGTTGGTAAAAGAAATACCAATTCTTTGCTTTCCTCATTTACCCTCACTCCCTTCCCTAAGTTACTATTTTCCCTGTTTTGCTTTCCAGCAGCTTCTCACAATGCCATGCACTGACTTCCCTGTCTATCCAGCCTACTGCGGACCCAAGTATTCCTGTTGCCAGTTAGGAGGGATGAGTAATGGAGACTCCAGCCCTCAGAGACCTTGATCAAGTAAAGCAAAATTCCCTTCCTCTGCTTTCTTTGCAAGTGGCTAAACCCTTAGTCACTCTGGGATAAAAAGTAAACTGAAAACTTGAAAAAGTCTCAAGACAGAATCTAACTCCATCTCTGCCCCAGATAAAAAGCAAGATCTTAAGCCAAATTAAATGAACTAATAAAAATCAGTCCTATTCAAGTGCCCAATTAATTTAAACATGAAGCTTGTCAGTTTCCAGCTTCACTGATTTTAATCCAGCAACCCTCACTATAGAGGTCTTCTTTTAACCTGCTCTGTTTGGAGGTTTTGCTTGCTGGGTATGTATCTGTAAGGTAAATCTTGATTATTTCCTTACTATAGACAATTATCTGGCTGGAGATGTCATGTTTTAGACCTTGGCCATCTTGTGCAAGTTACAGAAGCTTTGCCAAAGGTGCATTCCTTCTGTCTGGACTTATATCTCTGACTATCCACTCTACCATCACTTATTCATTCACTCAGCAAGTAAGGATTTAGCATGGCCGTGTGCCAGTCAACACTCTCAGCACAGCAGATACGGAGCTCCCTGACTGGTAGAGGGATGTAGGGGATGGACAAGTGATCAGGCAATAAGAGCACAGAGAGTGCCAGGATCCGTGCCCTCTTGGCCCCTCCAGGTCTGGGCTTCATGATATTCCCTCTTCTGCAGCATCATCCATTTCTCCTTCTATATGTTCCCTTAAAACCGTAACACTCATGCACTAGCCTAGGATGATACCTAGGAGAAACATCATCCTACCCTTCTCCATCCTTATCCAGACTTCTAAACAGAGTAATCTATATCTTCAATGCCTACTTTACCTTCGCTTCACACCTCAACCCCCAGTAATCCATCCACCAAGAGAGTCATAACTGCTCTTTCCAAAGTCACCTACAACCTCCGAAGTCCTGTGAACCTCGAAAATTTGAGACAGGTCTCAGTTAATTTAGAAAGTTTATTTTGCCAAAGTCGAGGATGCACACCCATGACACAGCCTCAGGGAGTCCTGATAACATGTGCCCAAGGCGATTGGGGCACAGCTTGGTTTTGTACATTTAGGGAGATTTGAGACATAAATCTTGTAGTTGCTAGCCCGGGTGAGGAGGTGGGAGCACCCTCAATTAAAAAAAGAAAATCAAAGTTTAATCTCATTTGTGTCCTTTCTGTTACTTCCTTTTCAGTATATGTAAGATGTACATTGATTCTGTCCAGAAAATTGAGGACAACTCGAGGCAAGGAGGGGGTTTCCCGGTCACAGGTATGTGAGAGACAAATGGCTGCATTCTCTTGAGTTTCTGATAAGCCTTTCCAAAGGAGGCCATCAGAATATGCATCTATCTCAGTGAGCAGAGGGTGAGTTTGAATAGAATGGGAGGCTGGTTTAACCTGAGCAGTTTCTGGCTTCAACTTTCCCTTTAGCTTAGCGATTTTGGGGGCCCAAGATATTTTCCTTTCACAGTTCTAAGCAGAAGATGTTCTTTGTCTCTTATTTACCACCATATTTAAGGCTATTGAACACTCCAGCCTCTGCTCCCAGGAAGCTTCTTTCTTGTCTTCTCTGGTCTTTCATTCCTTGTCTATAGCTTTGTAGATTTCTTCTTCCTTTCACTCCGCAGTGCTGGTGCTCCCAGACAACCTGTCTACTTTCCTAGATTCTCCTTCTCCCTAGGACATCTCATTACTTTCAGGGTTTTAACTAGAATTTACCCTCTGGTGGCTTTATCTATTTATTTTTGAGACAGAGTTTCACTCTTGTCACCCAGGCTGGAATGCAATGGGACAGTCTTGGCTTACTGCAACCTCTGCCTCTTAGGTTCAAATGATTCTCTTGCCTCAGCCTCCTGATTAGCTGGGATTACAGGCATGTGCCACCTTGGCCAGCTAATGTTTGTATTTTTAGTAGAGATAAGGTTTCATCATGTTGGCCAGGCTAGTCGCAAACTCCTGACCTCAGATGATCTGCCTGCCTCAGCCTCCAAAAGTGCTGGGATTACAGGAGTGAGGCACCTCACCCAGCCTACTGGTGGTTTTAATTTCCAAATCTCCAGACAGAGACCACTCAATATTTGGACTCAAATTGAATGTCTGTTAGACATTTACACTTGGATATCCTACAAACTCAACTTATCCCAAACAAAACTCATCAGTCACCATTCTCTAAACATCGTTTTTGCTCCTTTTGTATTTTAATTTTTTTATTTTTATTTATTTCTTTTGAGACAAGCTCTGGCTCTGTTGCACAGGCTGGAATGCAGTGGTACGATCTAGACTCATTGAAACCTCTGCCTCCCAGGCTCAAGCCATCCTTCCACCTCAGCTTTGCACTCGCACAGCTGAGACTACTGGCACATGGCACCAGCCCTGGCTAAATTTTTTGTATTTTTTGTAGAGACAGGGTTTTGCCATCTTGCCCAGGCTGGTCTCAAGCTTGTGAGCTGAAGAGATCTGCCTGACTTGGCCTACCAAAGTGCTTGGATTACAGGTGTAAGCCTTCACGTTCAGCCCTGCATTTTTATTTTTAATCTCAGTTGTTGGCACTAAAATTCAGTTGATTACACAAATACGAAGCCTGCCTGTTGTTTCACTAAGACCTCTCAAATTTTTTAAAAAATCAAAGTTGAAACTCATTGTGTCCTTTCTGTTACTTCCTTTTCAGCTCCTTGTCATCTCTCCCTGGGTAAGTTCTATCTCCTTCTACCTCATGCCCCATTCAGCTCCTCACCATCTCCCACCTTGGCCCTTATTTTTCTGGCCCTGTTGGTCTCCTGGGCTCATCGTTTCTGGCCCATAGCTCTGTCTACTGAATTGCTGCCAGAGAGGTCTTTATTAAAATCTGTATCTGACCATGTTGCCTCCATACCTAAAACCCCTCAATGGAACCCTGACACTGATGCAATAAAGTGTCAACTCCTTAACCAGAAGTGCTGGGTATTCTCCACCTGTCTTTCTGGACTCACTCACCACTGTTCTCTACCTCTCTGACCTGGAGGGCTGACCTCCACCGACTGCCTCAGCTGAGCCCTCTGCCTTCTGGATGCATTTGGCCATTGCGAGGCATGAGAAGGATATCAGAAGGCAGGAGGAAAACATAGCTGGGATATTTATTATCTTGCCTCCATGTCAACCCAGCCTATGTTCCTCTACCAGAAGCTCCACCTCCAGTGGTGTGTGGTGGTGGTAGCAGGAGGGGGTCCCTAGTATTAAAGGCACAGCCACCATTCTCTTTTGAGTTCTGGTCCTCGTCTTTGCCTCTTTTGATCTAGGGGAGGTGATGGCTCCTGGGCTTGTATTTGCTAGCCCAGGTGTCTCATAACCCATTGTTGGTGTCGTTAAAACACATGCTCTGAATGAAGAAACCCCCCAAACAGGCTCTGTGTGAGAAACATGGCTCTTTATTCACCTGGGTGCGGGCAGGCTGAGTCCAAAAAGAGAGTCAGTGGAGGGTGGTGGGATAGGAGAAGGTTTTATAAGTTTGGAGTAGGCTGTGGAAAGTTACAGTTTAGGGTGGTTTTTTGCAAGCTGGGAGGGAGTTGTAGGGTCTGGAGTCACAAGGTTGACCAAGGTCGGTTACAAAGACCAATGGCCATATCAATTGAGGCAGGAATAAGAAACAATAGAAGAATGTCTCAAGTTAGTTAGTCACCACAGGGGTTGATTGTTCCACTTTTCGTGGTCTTCCAGTTACTTCAGGTTTTCTAATTCTGGAAGGCCCTCCAGAGGTGCACATGAGGGTCACAGGGGTCACCATAGGGTCCATGGTGCCATCAGTCAGCCCAAAAGACCTTACAGGTTTCCCTTAACTCTGCCTGTATCCTCACTAATAGGTCCCCCATTAACACTCCTCAGCCACCCTGTGTGCTGTGTTTGCTTCCTGCTAAAACTCTCTTCTTTGTGCTTCCCAATTCTGTCCTCAGGTGTTGCATCCCAGCAGCACCCTCCTGCTTCTGCTTGGGTTTCTCTGCAGGAGGCTTGCTTTTCCTCACCTCTAAGCCTTTGCTCAGGCTAGCCCTCTGCCTCCTAGTTTGGGTTTGTTCTGGGCCCTCAGCAGTACTTGGAGCTCATGAAATCCCCCGCCCCCCCATCTGCCTTCCTAGCATGCCTTTGTTTTGAGCTGCTTTGAATGCCAATATTGTGTTGAGAAGCAGGATGACATCCTGGGATGGTAATTCTTCTGGAAGATTTGAGCTCATGGGACTTCATCCTATTTTTTCTAATGTAATTCTGGGGGAACATGGAATCATATATTACTGTGTCACATTCTTGCCTTATTAGAAAAGCCAACTCCAAATGCGCTGCTAATTGCAGCTCTTCCCGATGGTCTTCTGAAAATCAGCTTCTTTTTAATTAATAAAGGAATAAGAGTTTGAACCATATGAAATTGTTGTTTGATGAGTCAAAAATCATAAAATATTCGTGATTTCATATGATTAGCCTAATACAAAGGGGAGTGAACAGATTTTCAAAGTAGTGGGGGCACATAGGTCATTCTCTTATCCCAGTCTTCTGCTTCCTCTCCGCAAAGGCGACTCCTGTTGCCAGGGATCTGAAAAGCAATTGTATACCATTTGAGAAAGATTGTACATATGCATTAATTTATAAACATGTGGACACACGAAACTCACACTGTTTTTTTTAACCTTCATTTATTTAGCTTAGATTTCTCTTAGAAATCATCACAGCTAACTCATTCATGTTTTTTAGTCAGCTCCTAGGAGTGAGTACACTCATTGCTTCCAGTCGTTAGTACTGTAAATAATAAAAGTTAAAAAAGAAGAAGAAAAGCAATGTCATCATGAACATCTTCACACACACACATCTTTGTGATGTGCATAGCATAAATCTCTGGAAGGGATTGTGATTTTATTCTTAAAACTTAATTAATTAACTAATAATTAATTAAATTTATTTATTTATTGAGACAGGGTTTAGTGCTGCCATCTAGGCTGGAATGCAGTTGCAGCACAATGTTAACTCACTGCAGCTTCTAACTCCTGGGTTCAAGCAATCCTTCTACCTCGCACTCCCGAGTAGATGGGACTATAGGTGTGTGCCATCATGCCCAGCTAATTTTTTGTACTTTTTGTACAGATGAGGCTTCACCATGTTTCCCAGGCTGGTCTCAAACTCCTGGGCTCAGAGCAATCCACCTGCCTCAGCTTCCCAACATGCTGAGATTATAGGCATGAGCCACCACTCCCGGCCTGGATTGTGATTTTAAACTTAGAGAGCTACTGACAGATTCTTATGAAAATGGGTTGTTCTCATTTGCATTCTCCCCAATAGTGTGTCTTCTCTCGC